GGGAGGGGGAGGGGGAGGGGGGTGCTCCGATGAGCCACGGTCGCCACGCACGAGGGAGGCGCTGGCTGGCGTGAACGGCGTCTCTTCACGGCGGCGGGTGTGTGAACAGGCCTCACGCCGGAGGAGGAGGCCCTCGCGGCCTTCGAGGCCGAGATGGCGGAGATTGCGGCGGCGGAGGAGGAGGAGCGTATCTTGTACGGCATCGCCGCTCCAGATGCGCCACACCTCCACACACCTCCCCACACCTCCCCACACCTCCCCACACCTCCCCACACCTCCCCCACACCTCCCCACACCTCCCCACATCTCCCAACATCTTCCTCCCACCCCCCACACCTCCCGGTATCTCCCAACACCTTCCCCCACACACACTCACCCCCCCCCCCCACCCCCCCACCCCCCCACTCTCACACACACATCTCCCCACCTCTCCCACCTCCCCACCCCCTCGAGCTCCGTCCTCCTCCTTTGACGCAGGCGCCGCCGCCGCCGCCCACGCCAACGCCGTGGCGAGCGGGGCGCCGCTGCAGCCGAGTCCGCCCGGAGTGAGCGCTCTCGCGTCGGGAGAGTCCGTGGCGCCGGCGGGCTCCTGGCTGGCGCGGAGGAGGGGAGGGCGGCTCGAGCCGTCTTCTCACAGCTGCTGCGACGAGGGTAGGCGGCGGCGAGGCTCCGCAAGGGTAGTGCCCGAATCCTGGACGCGTTGTCTTGCCTCGCGCCGCCCTCGAGCATCGCGCTAGCGCCTCCCGCCGCCTCCTCCACCTCCCACGCCCCCCACGCAAGCGGAGGAGGCGGAGGAGGCGGAGGCGGAGGCGGAGGCGGAGGAGGAGGCGGAGGCGGAGGCGGAGGAGGAGGTGGAGGAGGAGGCGGCGGCTTGCTGCTGTGTTGTGGTCGCGGCCGCTCAGGCTGCCTGGCGCGGCTGGCTGTCGCCACATACCTGTGAACAGCGACTCTTCACACCTCGAGCTGTGAACAGGCTGCCTGGCGCGGGTGGCGCCCGGAGTGCGGTTGCGAGCCCTCTCCGCGCAGCCGATTGGCGGCGGCGGCGTCTCCTGCCGCTCGCTCTTCACCCTCGCGCAGCCGGGCGGCGCTCTCGCTTGCGCGGGCGGCGGCGGCGGCGGGCGCGGCGGCGCGGCGGGCGACGCAGCGGGCGGTGCCGACGCGCGGGCGGCGCGCGCGGGATCGAGCGAGTATTGAGGTTGGGACGGCGAGCTGTGGGCCCGTGTAGGCGACGCTGCTGCACGCCCGCTCCCTCCTTCTCGGACCTTTCCTGGACCGTTTCCTGGAGCCTTCCTGCAGGCGACGCCAACCCGACGACGCGCGCGCTGGTCGGCGACGAGTTCGGGAGCCAGATGTTCGAGCTTGGCGCCGCCGGAGTCAGCAGCGCCGGCCCGCGCGACGCGAGGCCGACGCCGCCGCTGCTGGCGACGGCGCGGCGGGGCAGGCGCCCGCGTCTCACGGCTGCCGGCGTGGATAGGCCGACGCTGCTGCTGCTGGCGACGGCGCGCGGGGCGTTGCATGTCCATTCGGAGAGGGCGCGGTTGCTTCTTTGGCCACCAGTCCTTGGTTCGTGCGAGTTCCTTATGAGTGAGTACGGTGTTGCCCCCGCGCTTCCAGGCGCGCCTCCTCGCCGCACACACGGTATCCATGAGTTAGTCAGTGCATCAGTTTGGTGCCATTCATAGGCGCGCCTCCTCGCCGCAGACGCAGTCGTCCACTCCCTCCTCCCCCCCGAAGGGAAGAGCATCGCCGCCGCGTCGGCGGCCGGGGGGTCCGTGGCGTGTCTGGCTGCGCGGCCACTCTCTCGCCGCCTCTCGCCGCATCTCGCCGCATCCGTTGCGCAGGTACGTGCTCTGCCTGCTGGACGACGGTGCGCCGTGGCTGTTGCTCGTCGATGAAGACGCCGCAGACCCCGCCAACCGGCTCGTCGAGGTCGCGCAAGCTGCGCCGGGCTCGCCGGCCGCCGGGTCTGCCGGCTCGCTGGCGTGGGGGTGCCAGATGGGCCGGGATCGAGATCGGGAGGAGGTCGGGAGGAGATCGGGAGGAGATCGAGAGGAGATCGGGAGGAGATCGAGTTTAGCCTTAGCTGAGGCCGGCCTTAGCCGAGGTGAGCTGAGGTGAGCCGAGATGATATCGAGAGGAGATCGCGAGGAGCTCGAGATGAGCTCGAGATGAGCTCGAGATGAGATCGAGATGAGCTCGAGATGAGCTCGAGATGAGCTCGAGATGAGATCGAGATGAGCTCGAGATGAGCTCGAGATGAGATCGAGATGAGCTCGAGATGAGCTCGAGATGAGATCGAGATGAGCTCGAGATGAGATCGAGATGAGCTCGAGATGAGATCGAGATGAGATCGAGATGAGATCGAGAGGAGATCGCGATGAGCTCGAGATGAGCTCGAGATGAGATCGAGATGAGATCGCGATGAGATCGAGATGAGGCGCGCGGGGCGTGCGCGCCGATGCCACGCCGCGTCCGCAGGTGCGCGCCGCCCTCCGCGCTTCGCTGCGCTTCGCTGCTCGCGGACGAGCAGCGCTACTTCTCGGCGCTGCCTCGCGCGACCCCGTCGCCGGTGCACCCTCGTTCGTACTCGTCTGCCTCGAGTCACATTCTCACGTCCCTGACTCGCCCATGACACGCCCATGACACGTCCATGACACGCCCATGACACGCCCACGACGCCCATGACACGTCCACGACACGTCCATGACACGTCCATGACACGTCCATAACACGTCCATGACACGTCCATGACACGCCCATGACACGTCCATGACACGTCCATGACACGTCCATGACACGTCCCCGACACGCCCATGACACGCCCATGACACGCCCATGACACGCCCATGACACGTCCATGACACGTCCATGACGCACGTCCATGACACGTCCATGACGCACGTCCCAGGCGCGCAACCCGTCGAGCTCCGGCCGCTCTCCGCGGCTGCGCGGCGCCGCGCTGCAGCGTCGCC